TTGAAGCCCTTTCCACCCTTCATCCAACACTCTCATGGCAGAAAGTGCAGAGGAACTAAAGAGCCTCTTGATGCGAGTAAAGGAGGAAAGCACAAAAGTTGGCTTGAAACTCTACATTAAGAAAACTAAGATCATGGCATTCGATCCTCTCACTTCCTGGCAAATAGATGGGGAAGAAATGGAGGTAGTCGCAGAGTTTATTTTCCTGGGCTCCAAGATCACCGCAGACGGGGACTGCAGCCAAGAAATTAACAGACGCTTACACCTGGGGAGGAAAGCTATGGCAAATCTAGACACAATACTAAAAAGCAGAGACATCACCCTGCCAACAAAAGTGCATGTGGTCAAGGCTATGGTTTTCCCACTTGCAATGTATGGCTGTGAAAGCTGGACCATAAGGAAGGCTGAGCGCCAAAGAATTGAGGCCTCTGAATTGTGGTGCTGGCGGAGACTCCTGCGAGTCCCATGGACTGCAAGATGATCAAACTGGTCAGTCCTAGAGGAGATCTCGCCGCGGACGCTGGGCCGGCTGCCCTTTCGCTTCAGGTCGATCTTACTCGCGAGAATGGAATTCAGACGCTTCCCTTCTCAAGCTTAATTGGGCCGAGCGCGCAAAGACCGGACCCCGCGTGTCCTGCCGCGGCATCGCAAGCTTGGCCACAGCACATCACGTCACATCTTTGCGCTGCCTCCAGCAACAAATCCCAGCAGCCCCACCCCCGTCCATGCACCCAAAAGCGTTTACATGTCAGCACCAGTGAATTTAAGACATAAGCCGATGCCCTTGCAGGGGTCCCGAAATCAGTGCGTGGTGGGGCATCGCCTCTCCCCCCGCCACCTTGGTTAGCTTCTCAACCCGGCCAATCCAGCCGAGAATAAGGGGGTTCCCCCAGCCACGTGCAGAACCGCACCGGGGGCCCCTTTGCGCAGGGTGGGGCAGTGCCCGAGCGATGGGGCACTTCAGGCCACGCCCCACTGCGTCTCTCCCCCTTGCCAAGTCAAAATGGCCGCCTGCTCCGCCGGACGGAGCTCCCTAGTGCTGAGTGGG